TATTAAATCAGAGAAATAAGGAAGACCCAACAGAGATGCCTGAGAAGGAGTGGACTTGAGACAGCAAGAAGACAGAAAAAAAGAGGTGCTCTAGAAGCCAAAGGAAGAGTCTGTGTCACATGCTGCTGAAGGGTCAGAGAAGATGAGGGCACCATTAGAAAACAAGACAGGAAGAATAGGAGCATGTGTGCTCAGGCCAGCTAAGACACAGAAGGCAAAGAGTGGACCCTGGTCCTCACTACTGAAGCCCCATAGATGGGAGAGGCACATGGATGTTACCCTCCCCCCCGCCCAGAGTGCTGGCTGCCTCACACACAGGGACTCCGATCACTGACAAACCTGGCCCAGGTAGTTGTAGAGTGTTTCCAGGGTCAGATAAGCACAGTTAACCATCGGGGGAGGGAAAGTGTGAACACCGAAAGGTGGAGGAGGGGTGAGGAGCAGGAAGACTTCCACCTTTCTCTTACACAACTGCATTATTCTTTCCCTTCACCATGGAATGCAGTCTTGGCTCTCCAAGACTCTAATTTCTTAAAGGCCATATATCCTCAGCCCAAGAGAGTTAACATAATTATTTCAAGACCAGGAAATAATTTTTTCTTAGAAAAAAAATGACTTCATCAAAATAAAAATACACAACTTTCCAGGACCTGACATTTCATGTCATCTATAGCTTCAGACAACCTTCTGTGCTTTGCTTTCCTTCACCTCAAATCCAAGTGTTAGGTGATTATCTACAAAAGACTGAAGTTATGCATGAAGGATGCTTGTGGCCTGAGACAAGCATAGCTCTGTCACACTGCCTCACAATGACTTATAATTATTTACCGTTTTATCTTTTCCACTAGACTTAGAAGTCCTCAGAGGAGAGGCTGTGCCCTTTCACCACTGAATAGCAAGAACACTAATTCATGAAATTCCCATTCATTGAACTAATAATATGTGTCAGACATGGTATTTACTGTTTTTAGGCATTTAATCTTCACACAAACCTATGAGATGGTTATTATTTACTCCATTTCCCAGATAAGAAGGTTGAGATTAAGAAAGTTTAAGAAACTTACCTAATAATCATATTAAGGTAGAGAGTGACAGACTGTCCAATGTCAAATTCTGTCCTATTTTAGATAACGGCCCCTTCAAAAATGTCCACTTCCTACTTCTGCGAACCTGTGAATGTTAGCTTACATGGAAAATAAGACTTGACAGTTGTGATTAAATTAAAGGTTTTGAGGTGGGGAGGTTTTCCTGGATGATCCAGGTGGGCTCAGTGTAATCCTAAGAGTCCTCCCTGTAATCACAAGAGGGAGGTAAGAAGAGATCAGGTTGAGTGGGGGAGGTCTGACAACAGGAGAGTCTGCAGTAATCTGAGGGAGGGGCCATGAGCCGGGGAATGAGGGTGGCCCCTAGAAACTGGAAAAGGCAAGGAAACAGATTTTCCCCTAGAGTCTCCAAAAGGAACATATACTGGCCAGTACCTTGATTTTAGACTTCTGACCTTCAGAACAGGAAGATAATAAATATGTGTTGTTTTTAAGCCACTGAATTGGTGGTAATTTCTTGCAGTGGCAATAGGAAACCAATAAAGTGCCCTTTGCCCCTGTCCTTTATGTGGCCTTTATATCCCAAGGACCTAAGGCAGTCGATGGATGTTTGCTAAGTAAACTACTGAAGGAGAAAGATTTTCCGAGGCTTCTCCCACTTGGCCAACCCTGAACTCCTGACCAAGAGAATCTAGCCTTTCTCAGAGAGAAATGGACAGCAGCAACCCAGGTATACCTGGGATGGTACGTGTTTTCTTAACTGCTAAGTTAATAGATGTGCTATTAATAGTCTGAAGCTCATTCTATGCCACTCAGTGTGCCCTTGGAGGACATGACAAAATACAACCCTAATTTACAGCTGTGACTGAGAGCTCCAGGGCTAGAGGGAGGGAGAGGAGGGTGAGAATATGGCCCCAATTTAGGCTGTTTTTCCATTTCCTATAACAATGATTAAATATCACAAATGATTTAGTTGAAATGACAAGCAGCATTAGTAAAAAATGAGCAGAAATCATATTTTATAATCTGTTTCCTTTATAAAAATTATCTCATGACAAACTAGAGCAATGAATGCACATAGACATACTGCTAATGCACATAACTCTACTTCCTTCTTTCTCCAAGACCTCTATGGCCCATTCTTTAGACCAGGAATATATTCTTTTATATATTAGTATCAAAAGAGGATATTTTTCCAAATTAATAAATTCAATACACCCTATAGCTTAGCTGCTTTAGAAATGAAAGGATGGAAATCTAGAAATTGTTTAGGATTCACAAATGGCTCATCATGCCATGAAGTGTCGTTTCCCCTTTCTGTACCCCAGTTTCTCTACCCAGGTTAAAATCCTACACATACAAAGTAAAAAGTTCAAAACAGCTTTTGATATTTTAAGAAATACTACATAAGCAGAAAGATGGTTACAATTTCAACTAAAAGCAATCATTTCAAAGTGAATTGCAAATTCATATATGTCTATATTCCATAATCTATTTGTAGTCGACATAAAAGGTTCAGTAAGTTATTGTGGAGGTCTAAGGTAAAATCAGTTACTGCCCTCAGTCTAGACTATCTGATTAGATCGGCAATTCCCATGGCATTCCCAGCTTGCCTGGTTTTGCAGCCAAGGTTCCCAGGGGTCCTGAGTGGCTTTGGAATCTGAATAAATCACACACTCTAGGGGTCCAACAACTCAATTTATTTGTGACCTCAGACAGGATCTTATTGCTTCTCAGATTAACAGTTTGAAATGGTTTGCTTTTGTGCCCCAGGAGTATTAGTTTGATGTATGAGGCAGGGAGATTATTAAATCTTCAGTGCCATCCAAAGATGTAAATTAACCGACAGCACCTCCTTAGCCACCTTTCCTGTATGAGCTCGGTTTATTATTAACTTGTCGTTCTTTCATGCTCATCAAAACAAGCAGCACTATGATTAATTACGCCTGTTTATTTAAAGGTACCTGTCATTCCAACTTTTTGTGGACAGGATATTACAAAGTCTCCTGATTTCTTTGCAAAACTATAGCATGAGGACTTTCACAGGGGAGAAGAGAATGACTGTCCTCTTCTAATCATGTCCATGAATATATTTGAAGGAAATGGCACGTATGTAGCTGTATATTGCTTTTTTAATTTTAAATGAAGCTGCATTTCATTTTGGCTCCCTTTGCCTGTTCATAGATGTCTCATTGCCTGATTCTGCTCAGCTGGACATCTCTGGCACTAAATGGACAAAAACTCTAAAATTCTCTTTTCAATTCTATCATTCACAACTCAATTCAACAAATACAGTATTTATGAGGTTCTTCTATGTGGCAAGCAGCAAATGTGAATTTATTCATTTCTTCATCCAATATTCATTTAATGTCTTTCATGTGCCAGTAATGGCACTAGGTGTATATTCACCATTCAAAACAGTGAACAGTCTTGCCCCCATGGAGTTTACAGCCTTGTTACTCCTCTTCCCAAGGCATGTGTCTCTCTAAATTATGAACAAAGGACAATGGAGGGACAATGAGAACCTGGATAAAAGGGAAGAAAAGCAGAGTGTGTCCCTTCTAAGATAAGTTTGTACAAAATAGACCTAAAATGAGTCAGGCATAAAAGACATCTGCAAGGCTCATTCCCCCTTCCTGGTCCAGAGTGGGCCTGCAGTGCTGAACTGCACTGAAACTACGGCATTTCACTTGGTTTTTTTCTCCTTGTACCTATTATATTGCAGATTATCAAGTTTGCTGAATCATCACTGAAGCACAGAACGTTTTCAAATAAACTTTGCGGCATGGCCTCTGATCTGCCTCTAGAAAAAAAATTCCTCTTTAACAGTTTAAATTGTAGGATAATTACCTTTTTAAAAAAAGAAAACGGTTCCTGAATATATATTTTTCTCCCTTTTTAAACAAGTTTTTATTAAGGAAACTGACAAAAATACAATAAAGGTAAGAAAGTAAAACAATAAACCTATCACCTAGCTTCAGTAATTATCAACATTTTATTCTTCTTTTTATCTATCACATTTCTCTCTCCCTTCACATTTTTTTGTATTTTTAAATAAATTCCCACTGTCACACCATTTTACATCCAGATATGTAAGAATTTATCCAATAAATAAAATTTTTTAAAAACCTTATAAAAATAACTATAATATCACTGTAATAGTGAACAAAATAACGGTAATTCTTTAATATCTTCTAAAACCTAGCCCATGTTTAAATGTCTCTGATTGTCTAAAAAAAATTCTTTTGGATTAAAACATGATCCAAACAAAGTCTACACATTAAATTTAGTCAATGTGTCTTTCATTTATACATTTTCTCCCAATGTCCTTTTGAGTATCACTAAAATAATCTTCAGTATTTTTATCTAGAGTAAACAAATCCATCCAAACTCAACATATGCTCCTGATGCTACTTAATTATGTAATATTTTCAAGGACAGGGTAATCATATAATTTATCATTTAAATAAAGAAACTCTTGAGTGTAAAGAGGATGCTATTAACAATTATACTGATCTAAACCAGAACAATAGTCATCCTACCAGTACAGATATTAGAGATTAAAAATAAGGACCAGGTTCCTGGCTTCTACTTGAGTGCAGAAAGCTAGAAAAGAGCCAGAAAGAATGTCATTGCCACCCTTACAATTTTTTTTTAAAAAATGAAACAATCTGCAAGTTAACGACTTTTCCTGGATCCATCAGTGAGTTGAAGTTGAGAAAATGCCAACTAAACCAAAATCTGAGGAGAAACAATGCCTTTGGGGAGACAGAATACAAGAATTGGTTTACTTGGGGCAGTTGAACACCAGTAAGAAGCATTCGCTGAGAATTGTCAACAAATTGGTAGAGGCTGAGTATTGGCTGGTAACAGCACAGGACCCTGAAGGTTTCAGATATAAGGAGAGTTCACAACACTCAGAGGCTTTGCTCCCTACAGATTCCAATGAGTACTCACCAAAAATGATGGCAAAAGTCCTGAGAAAGCATCCTTAATGGTACAGGCTTAGGAGAGGGGAAGAACAGCTGCTGCAGGAAGGCCACGGAGCACTGCCAGATTCTTCTTCTCTATCTTCCCTATAAAAGAAAAAAATCACTGGGAATGTGGTGTACAAAAAACAAAACAAACAACAACAAAAAAAAAAACAAGGGAAAACTCTCCATAGTGCCAAGAGACAAAATAATCAACAGAATCAGACTCGTATACAACACAGATGTTAAATTCCCTATCAGATAGGGAACTTAAAATAATTACTAAAATATGCCAAAGTCTTCAATGGAAATGGACATCACTCATTGTCAGATGAACAATTTCAGCAGAGAGATCAAAACTGTCAGAAAAAAATTAAATGAAGATGCTAGAAGTGAAAAGCAGTAACAGAGGTCAAGGCAGTCATCAACAGCCTCATCAGCAAACTTAACAGAGCTAAGGAAAAAACCAGTTACATGAAAATATCCAAACCAAAAGACAAAGAGAGCAAAAAATAAAAACAGAACTGTAAGACAAAATCAAATGATCTAACAAACATGCAGTTAGAATTCCAAAAGGGAAAAAAGACAGAGAATGGCATAGACTAAATATCTGAAGGAATAATGACTAAGAATTTCCAGAATTAATAGCATACATCAAACTACAGATCCAAACCACCAACAAAGATAAACACTCAAGCCAGAGAGAGACATATCATATTCAATTTCTGAACACACAAACAAAAGAGAAAATCTTAAAGTCAGCAAAGGGGGAAGGCGACTCATTCCTAGAGAAAAATAAATATAAGAATCATAAAAGCCATCTTGTTGAAACACATATAAGCTAGAAGATAATAGAATGAAATTGCTTAAATTATTCATATTTTTATGAAAGGTTAGCATACTAAAACAATATAGTTATCTAACAACAACAAAAAGCCCTGTGACAAACATAATACTTATAAAATATCTGATGCACTAAAGCCAGGCACAGCACAATACCATTTGTTGCTGTCATTATTCTAGAAAAGTTAGTGTAACAAGGCAAAAAAATTAAATAAGGAGATGAAATTTTGAGCCCTGGCTGGCATAGCTCAATGGATTGAGCACGGGCTGTGAACCAAAGTGTCCCAGGTTCGATTCCCAGTCAGGGTACATGCATGGGTTGCAGGCCATGACCCCCAGCAACCGCACATTGATGTTTCTCTCTCCTTCTCTTTCTCCCTCCCTTCCCTCTCTAAAAATAAATAAATAAAATCTTTAAAAAAAAAGAAATTATTTTTTAAAAAAGATGAAATTTTTTATTGGATACCATATAACTCAATATACAAAGTAAAATAGTATAAACAGGTAAATTTAGAAAAATAAGAAAGCTCGATCAATTTTCTAGATGTCAGGATAACATAAAATCAATAGTATTTTCATAATTCAGTAACAACAAATTAGATAAAACTTTAAATAGCATGAAAAACTATAACATCTCTAGGAACAATTCTAACAAAAGTAGAAAAGACTTTTATAAAAAATATTTCAACATATGGCTAAAGACTTTTTAAAAAGACCCAAATAAATGAAAAGGTATACACTCCTATCACCCAGGAAATTCCAAGGGATTTAGAAGTTGTGTCAGGAGCTGGAATCAAAGATGCTCCTAGTGTTCTTAGGCCATTAGAATATTATAATAACAAAATAAAAGTTGCTCCTAGTGTTCTTGTCACTTAGGAAATTACAAGGGTTTTAGGAGCACTATGCCAGGAACCAGGGACAGAGACCAATATAGATTTTTTCTATTATTTTACAACATCCTTCTATAAGAAATGGGCAGATCTGGAGGCAGAAAATCAGTAAAGACATAATTTAATTCAACAACACCATCAATCAAGTGGATATAATTAACATCTATAGACAATTTTATCCAAAAGCAAATTACACATTCTTCTCAAGCTCATGTGGAACATCTGCTAAGATAGATCACACTGTGGGCCATAAAACAAATTGTAATAAGTTTAAGAGAACTGATATACAATCTCTGCTCTCAGACCACATGGAATTAAACCGTAAGTCAATAACACAAAGATAACTGGAACATCCCAAAATACATGGAGGTTAAACGACACGCTTCTAAACAACAAGTGAGTCAAAGAAAAAAATCTCAAGAGAATTTTTTAAATTTTGAACTAAATTAAAATGAAAATAAAACATGAAAACTTGTGGGATGCAGCAAAAGTTGTGTTTTACAGGAAAAACTATAGCCATGGATGCATATTTTAGAAAAGAGAAAAAACTAAAATCAATAATCTAAGCTTATACCTTAGAAAATTAGAAAAAGAAGAACAAATAAAATCCAAAGTAAGGAAAAAGCTATCTAATAAGAATTAGTGTAAAAATCAATGTGACTGAAAATAGGAAATCAATAGAAAAAAATCAAAACCTAGTTCTTTGAACAAAATCAATAAAATTAATAAGCCTTTACCCAGGCTAAGAAAAAGAGAGAAGACATAAATTACTAATATCAGAAATGAAAGAGGATAAATTACTACAAATTCTACAGACATTAAAAGGATAATAAAGAAATATTATGAACAACTCTACGCCCACAAATTTAATAACCTAGATAAAATGGACCAATTCCTTGGAAGACAATCGCCAAATTTCACAAAAAGGAAATATGTAGATAATTGGAATAGGCCTATATCTATTAAAGAAATTTGAGTCAATAATTAATAACCTTCTAAGTAGTAAAGCATTCAGTCCAAATGGGTTCACTAGTGAAGTCTATGAGGCCAGCATTATCCTATTTCCAAAATCAGATAATGCTTTTACAAACAAAAGTACAGACTAATATCATTCATGAACACAGATGCAAAAATCCTCAACAAAATATAACAAAATAAACCCATTAGCCCTGGCTAGTGTGGCTCAGTGGATTGAGCACTGGACTGGGAAGCAGAGGGTCACTGGTTCGATTCCCAGTCAGGGCACATGCCTGGGTTGCAGGCCAGGTTCCCCAGTATGGGGAACACAAGAGGCAACCACACATTGATGTTTCTCTCTCTCTCTTTTTCCCTCCCTTCCCCTCTCTAAAAATAAATAAAATTTTAAAGTAAATAAATAAAAATAAATAAATAAACCCATTAATGCATAAAAATAATTATACACTACAACCAAATGGCATTTATCCCAGGTATGGGAAGCTGGTTGAACATTTGAAAATCTATTAATGTAATCCATAACATCAACAGGCTTAAGAAGAAAAATCACATGATGATATCAATAGATGTAGAAGAAGCATTTAACAAAATCAAATACCACTCATGATAAAAACTCTCAGCAAACAAAGAATAGAGGGAAACCTCCTCAACTTGACAAAGAATATCTACAAAGAAAACTAAAGTTAACATCATACTGAATGGTTAGAAACTCAAAGTTTTCCAGGTACTAAGACCGGGTACAAGGCAAGAATGTCCCTTCCCATCACTGCTTTTCAACATTATGATGGAAATCCTAGGTAATGTAATAAGACAAGAAAAGGAGATAAAAGATATGTATGTTGGGAAGGAAGAAATAAAGCTGTCTTTGTTTGCAGTTACCATGATGGACTATGTAGAAAATGAAAAAAAAAATTGTCAAAACTCCTGGAACTAATAAGTGATTATAACAAGGTTGCAGGATTAGAATGAAAATTTGTAAGGGCTGAACAAGAGTGGTATTATCAAGAAGGCAAAAGGGACTCCAGCTTCTGTCTCACACAAAGAACAACAATGAGACACCTATCCACGAATGAAAATAACTCTGGGATTGCTCAGGAGTCCACTTAAGAAGCTTGAAACAACATAGTGGAACCAAAAACCTGAAAATAACCACACAAAAAGTATAGGAAAAAGTTTCATTTTGTCTGCATTATCCCATCCCCTAACAGGGAACTCCCCAGCCCAGAAGAGTTCTCCACAACAGTAAAAAGGAAAGCAGGGTGAGCTTCCCCTTTTGGAGAACTGCCTGAAGAATCCACTTCAGTTTTACCCCACCCCGAGACCAGCAAAACTGAGATGTCTGAAGATGGCTAGGAACAAAGAAGGACAGGGGCTACCAGTAACAGTCAGGCAACATGAGCAACAGGTAGATGGAACATCAACTGGCTACACCAAGTATGTGGGTTCAATCCCCAGTCAGGGCACATACAAGAAGCAACCAATGAATGCATAAATAAGTGGAACAAGAAATCAATGTTTCTCTCTCTCTTTCTTCTCTAAAATCAATGAATAAAATTTTTGAAAAAACGTACTTGTGACAAAGAGCCAAGAGCATACAATGAGGAAAGGAGAGTTTCTTTAATAAATGGTGGTGGGAAAACTGGGCAGCCACATGCAGAAGAATGAAACTGGCCCACTATCTTACAGAATACATAAAAATCAACCCAAAATTGCCCTGGCTGGTGTGACTTGGTGGGTTGAGTGCCGGCCTGCAAACCAAAGGTTCACAGGTTCAGTTCCTGGTCAGGTCACAGGCCTGAGTTGCAGGCCACTTCACCAGTTGGGGGCGTGCAAGAGGAAACCAATCAATGGTTCTCTCTTTCTCTCTTCTTTCCCCCTCTCTAAAAATAAATTTTAAAAATCTTAATTAAAAAAAAATCAACCCAAAATGGATCAAAGATTTTAACATAAGATCTGAAACCACAAAACTCCTAGAAGAAAACATAGGCCAAAAGCTCCTTAACATCTGCCTTGGTGACAATTTTTTGGATTTGACACCAAAAGCAAAGAAAAGCAAAAATAAACAAGTGGGACTACATCAAACTAAAAAGCTTCTGTACAGCAAAGAAAACCATCAACAAAATGAAAAGACAACCTACTGAATAGAAGAAAATATTTGCAAATCATACCTGATAAAGGGTTAATAACCAAAATATATAAAGAATTTATACAACTCAATAACAAATATATATTATGACTTAAAAATGAGCATGTGTGTGTGTGTAAAACATAGTGGCTGCACAAATTTATACACACACAGACACTTCTGATTTAAGAATGGGTAGAGGATCTAGACTTTCTTCCCAAAAAGGAATACAATGGCCAACAAGTACACGAAAAGGTGTTCAACATCACTAAGC